ATTATTATTATTATTATTAAGAGAAGAAGACGAACAACAACGACAACACAAAGAAGAAGAGGAAGAAGAAGTATTATTATTACGTGAAGCGCCTCCTGTTGTGAGTGTATCGCGGGAGTTGTTGGGCCGTGGACGTCATGGATCCGTGTGGCTCGCCGACGATGTGCAGCACTCGCGTGTGCGTTACGCTGTGAAAGTCGTGGACGTCCCCGCCGGCTGTCAACCACCCGTTCATCAACTCATCGCAGGAGTCAAACAACAACAACAACAACAATCCAGTAATAATAATAGTAATAATAGTGATACCACTACTTGTGAAGGTCCACCTGATCATCCCTATCCCTATCCCTATCCCTATTCCTGTCAACAACAACAAGAAGAGAAAGAGAGTCACTGTTCACATCCACCGCTGCCGTTAACGACGGGACTTGACGGCGAAGTGCGACTGTGGCCGCAAGTCCGTCACCACGGCGCCGTGCGGCTCCACGGCATTGCGACTGTGCACACCCCGCACGGTTGTGTGTATCAGTTCATTGCGGAGCACATGTCCTTCGGGGCCCTCAGCACATTTGCCCCTCAACACTATCCACACGGGCGGCTCCCAGAGAGTGCCCTGCGCTGGTTTCTCAAGCCGGTGCTCGAGTGCCTTCACTACATGCATGCGAGAGAAATGGTCCATTTGGATGTGAAGGCGGATAATATTATGGTGACGTGGTCCGATGAACACGGCCGCTGTGGAGCTCAGGCCACGGGATCCTATCGCTTTCCAGTGGCCAAACTCGGTGATTTTGGATCCGCTCGTTGTTTAGATAAGAATAAGAATAAGAATAATAATAATAATAATAATAAGAGCAACAAACCAACCAACCCGGATGCTCAACGTAAGCGAAGCAGCAGCAGCAGCAACAGCAGCAGTCATAAGAAGAAAAGGTCGGTTTCTCCACACGCAGATGATATGTGTTGTGGAACTCCCGGATTTATGGCGCCTGAGATTATCAGTCATCTTCAAAATACTTCCGATGCGTTCAGTCCAGCCGCAGATGTTTGGTCCTTCGCCTGCACAGCACTGCAATTATTGCGTGGGGCCCCACCGGTGCGTCCAGACACACACGTGGCGGCTATTCTCTTTGAAACGGCAATGTTTCCCGAACGCATTCAGAAGTTTATACCTCCTGTGAGGGAACCGGTATCTCCTACAGTTATCATGGATCATAATGATAATAAGGATAAAGAGGATGAAGTGACCATCTCTGCCTCTCTGAGGGATTTGTTGTTGAAGTGTCTTCATCCGGATCCAAAGAAACGCGCCACCACAGCGGAATTACTGCAGCATCCATTCTTTATGAAAGAAACACGACCGGAGGATATTGGAATAAATGAGGAGAATCAACCACCACTTTATTACGGTGGAACTACTACTACTACTACTACTACTACTACTAGCCAATCTTGTGATACTAGCAGCAATGTTAGTAGTAATATCCACAATGAGTTTAATTCCCTCATCCAATGTCATTATGGTGGTTTAAAGGATATCAGTAACACTACTGGGATGATGGGAAGTACGTTAAGTACGCTTTTTGATGGCCTTTCAAACAGTGAAGGAGAAGACTGTGATGAAGGGGATATAATTTATCACTAATATATATATATATATATATATGATTAATGATTAATGATTATGTCTACGTATATGTGTATAAAGGTTTTTTTCCCCCTTTCTCTTTTTCTCTCTATCTGTCTCTGTGTATGTTTGTGAATGAGATGATAAACAACATGTATTTGGACAATGCTCATTCACTCACTCACAGCAGAGTGCATTTGTTTTTGAAGATTTATTCGCTGAAATGTACGTGCGACCACATGTTAACAAGACGTCCAGAAGAATATAGTGTGATTTATCCCCCATTTTTTTTTTTATTTTTTTTTTTTTTCTGATTTCCTCCCTCACCTTTTTTTTTTTTAGTGTTTCTCTTTTTATATGTTTTATCTTTTATGGCTTTTTCTTTATTGTTATTATCTTTTTCTTCTTTCTCTCATTGGCCCCAATAATAATAATAATTATTATTATTATAATGATAATATTGATAATAATAGAAACGATTTGTTTATTATTATTATTATTATTATTATTATTATTATTATTATTATTTTTATT